CATTAAATCCTGCGCAGATACAAGTGGCCTCGTGAAATGCCCTCCGCCGCACCCTTCCGATATCACTTCTCACTTTCAGCCCCAAAGCTAGCAGAGCTCACAATATGAGTAGGTAGACATCAAGACCTGCTGGACAAGTTCTCCGCCGGACTCTGGTAGCCTTCGTCCATGTAAAGCTACCGATAGGGGCGCGTAGGTGTCGTGTGACGCCCACCCAGACGCACCCGCCGTGGTTATCGTCGTCGTCGTCGCCATCGCCATACACTTGGATTGTTCGACGACAGCATCAAGGAAATTTATGTACCATTCTATGGCAAAATAAATAAATAATCAACAGTTCTCACTCCCCGGGCACTTTTTTTTTTGGTCTGTCATGCTCAAGCAACTACTTCCGTCTGTGGCTAACCAGCCGGACCCCGAAAATGTCGCCTCATTATTCATTCATCATATTAAAAAAGATTAGCAGCCGGAGATAGCGGGGGAATTCAAATTTTCAGGGCGTGGTCAGCTTCAGAGATGCACTTCCTGTTTGCCCTGGCGAGAACTGACCCCTTTCAACACGGTTCCGTTGAAGAACTCAGCAGCTCAGGGGGCTCCGATGCAGCCACATTTGCATTGCCCGGAGAATTTTTAAATCAACGAAAGGATTTTTTTTTTTCGCTGCATTTCTGCTTCGATTATTTATAGTGCAATAGCAGCAGAAACGGGGTAGCGATTCCATTTTCTGCTGGCTCATTTGCACATCATGAATAATCATAATCTGCTCGCACTTGGTGCTTGCGATTGGAACCTGTTGGCTACGTAGTCGTCGTCGTCGTCGTCGTCCCTCGGGAAGAAGTCTGGGTGGAAGCGGGAGCTTGATGGCTGACTCGTAAAAGTCCTCTTCTGCTGCTGCTGCTGCTGCTTCGAAGCTGATATGTGAGAGTGTGTGTGTGTCTGTCTGCGAACGCGCCCCAATCATTCGAGTAGAACGTGATGAATGAATAAATTTGAACCTCCCGGAGGCAGCTTCCATCAAACAGAACGGGTGACCGCCTACGTGACGCTGCTGGATAAGGTCGACGTGGATCGTCTTCCGCGTAGGTACCTTCATGTGTAGCGTCGAAATTTTATTAAAGTGCCATTTCGGGAACCGTACGTTAAATATTAATTGAAAATGATCCCCTTGATCGAGCTGGAAAAAAAATCGGAAAGGGTCAGCGTGCCATAAATTGTTTATGATTGTTAATTTCTACAGAACAAATGGACCAGCGGTCATCCAAATTCATCCGTGAGGCGAGAAAACTGGTTCCCTGAAGTAGCAGCAGCAGCAGCAGCAGTGTGCCATATATGGACCGTAGAAGGACACGCCGCCTGTACTTCCTCGTTCTGAGACAAGTCGTGCCTGGCGTCGTCGTCGTCGTCGTCACACAGGGAAATCGCAGTGCGAATGCCTAATGAACCGTAATCGGAGACGCGACCGTTGCATTTTTATGCACCAGCAACGGCAGCAGTGCGTGTATCTGTCTCGTCGAGTGAGAGGGGGGGCGGAGGAGCTGGGGGTAGGCATAAGCTGATCAGCAATTCGATGCAGCTGCAAAATGACACTAATGAGCGCGGTCTCGTCACGCTTTGCTGAGGTGATGATCGATTGGACAGTTATTGGAAGTGTCGTTGGAGGCGGTGGCTGCGGCTGTGACCGAGGCAGCGGCAGTATCTCCAAGTTATGTGGTTAGCCGTCGTCGTAGCTTCGGATTCGGGCTTTATGATGCGTCACGACGATGATGATGATGATGATGATGATGATGGTCTGCGAGTAGAAAACAAATCGTGAAGGAGTGCGAATAATGGGGCTGGATGGGAGATGATTTGAGGTCAAGCTAAGATGGGATTGCATGACGGGTGGATGAATTGCAAAACAAATCGAGAAAATGGGATGCATCTGCGATCAACGTTGTTTGTGCACCAACAGCAAACAGAAGCTCTCAAACCACTTTGAGAATTGGATTAACTCGAGCGCTACCTACATTGAAGAAAGGTATTGTAAGCCCATTTTGCCTGATTCTACCCATAATTCGTTACTCAAGGGAATTGATCATTATCCATCATTTCATTGAATAAAGAACTATGCAAAGATTGAGGTTAAGTGTTCTGTTTCATGTAGCCTACACTATCCGATAATTAATCCAATCGATTCGTAAAACTCATAAAAGGATATACTTTCTTACAGAGATTTCATAACTTGTTGTTCTCTGATCTTTGTTGAAGTCCCCGCATTTTATTTTAAGTTCTTGAATTTGCCATTACAACACGGAACTTCCCCTAAAATGTTCTCACATTTCCTTATGTTCATGTAACTTCCATAACGTTTCCAAAATGGTCATGAACCTTTCGGAACTTTGCAGATACTTTCCTGTAAAGTTCCAGCAATTTTAATAAAATCAATTGAGCTGCCCTAAGGTTCTCCAATCTGTTCTGATTTTCTCGGAGCTTCCCTGAAGTTCTCTAAGATCTCCTGATGTTATTGGTTCACCTTCTTCTAGGCTTTTAACGCTTCTGTAGCGACCGTTTTGCCGACTCTCAACTTAGTGTTCTAAACGCACTTCCACAGTTATTAATTGAGAGATTTCTATGCCCACCAATGCATGACTTTGTATATTGTGTGGTAATCACAATGATAATCTATGACCAGGGGAGCTGAAAAACTTCCAACCTGAAATATTACCTCAACCAGTGTGGGAATCGAGCCTCGATTCTTTGTAATACCTTGCCTATGCTGACTAGACCAGCGTTTCTCAATCTATGGGTCACGAGCTACCCATAAGTAGGTCGCAGTTTTTTTTTTATTGTATGGAATCAAACCTGAGTTCAAATTTACACCTATCGGCTTAATTAAGAATTAACAAAGTATCTTGAAAAGTTGAAAAAAAAACTTAATCTTTATTTATTATATATTGGCATTAAAAGTGCAAGTTTACCGTATTGCTGGGCTTTGTGCTTTTTGAGGTGACATATTTTGTTTTTAAACCAGATGGTGGAATGAAATTTAACTCCGCTTTACGTGATTCAAATTTGTTTGAGCTATTCAATGTCAAATTTTAGTTTGTTTCTCGAATTACCGACTCGATAGCGCTTTCCCAAGCAAAATTTGACTTCGCTTCTCGTAATCCAAATCCTGCGCTATTCCAAGTAAAATGTGACTTCGCTACTCGTAGTCCAAATTCGATTGCAATGTTCCAAGTAAAATTTGATTTCGCTTCTGATAACCCAAATTAGTTTTCAATTTTCCAAGGAAAATTTTACATAGCTTCTCGTAATCCAAATTCGTTTTCGCTTTTCCTGATGAAAATATAAACCAATTTTGTTTGTGATTTGATTCTAAGTAGTCGTCGGCTACCCGCGACTACCCACAAACACGGCACTGTCAGATGCTGGCTTTTTAGGCTTTCTAGAGTGATTCAATGCTATTTGTTAGCATTTTCAAGACATTTTTTGGGTCATTTTGATGGATCTATTCCTTTTTGACATTGATAAACTTTTAACGTTTTAGGACTAATCTGTCGATTGTAAGTAATTTTTTGCGCTTTAAGAGTCATTCTGGCGATTCTAGAACCCTCGATTTTCACGGAACTTAACTAAAACTGTATTGGTGGGCCGCGAGATTATGGAATTTCTCAAAGTGGGTCGCAATCAACGTAAGTTTGAGAACCACTGGAATAGGTTATCTGAGTTCTTGGTACTGTACTGAAATAAACAAAAATAATTATATGCACTATTGTGAAGTTTCCGTCAAATTTCTAATATTTACTTAAGCTATTTGGAGTTTTTCAGAAATTCTCGAAACTTCTTGTGAAATTTTACTGACATTAATGGAACGGTTTTGAATTTATCGGTAGTTACCCTTACAGATCTCTAAACTTACCAGCAGGAAAGGATCGCTCTTTTGTGACTAGTTCATTACTTTGATTACATTCATTACAATTGAATTTTCATTTAACCCATCTTATAGATATAGATAGCTAAGTGCTATTAATATCTCTATCCAAATTCATAATTTCCGGACTGCAGACCCACACTCTGAAGGTGCATTTAAGAGAGCTTCTGTGAAATATTATCAACAATGTGTTCGAAGGGTCATCAAAACAGAGTTGCTCCTCACTAACATTGTTGTTTATTAATTTATTTGATAAGGCTCAATCGAATTCACTTAACAGAACCGAGTACAACACAATAAACACTTTATCTTCCGCTATCCAATAAGCCTCCTGCATCAGAACGAGAGCCACTTCAAGTGGTTTCATTGTATGGAAGTATCGCCAACAGGGAGCAGAGCACTTCCATTGCAGCAATGGACGCAAAACGTGGTCAGCACTCACACATTCATCACGAAACGGTTGCTTTCCACAGTCGACGACGCATCGACCGAAAAAACTGCTGATGAAGAACAATGAGGAGGGCCACACAATGGTTGCTGCCGAGTAAACAGACGATCGCGTGACACACATCGAGAGTGGCCTGCTTCTGTCGACAGCCGAGTGAACACTGCTCACTAACATTGTTGTAGCTGATGGCATATTCCGAGTAAAATCGCAACCACCTTGACAAAATATGCCAAAAAACAGGCTCCATCTGCTGCTATTGTCAAATAGAAGGGGAAAATCAGGGGATATATTGAAACATGAATTTCGGCGTCAATATTTGCATCAATATGATTGTCAATACTTTTGAGTATTGACAATATTTTTGCCCGTGTGGTGCTTGCTAAGGCTGTTAGGTTTAAAGATTTGTGAGAGAGAGAATCCTCTCAACATAATGCAAAACTCGGCTAACTTCAGGCTTGCGATTGCTCTATCAAAACCTGGCCGTTAGAGATTAGTTCAAATATTACAGTCGTATTTAGACTAATTATAATTGTCTAATTAAAAAGTGTTTATATTAATTGAATCCCAACCATGTCCCCAGTATGCAGTAAATCCATTCATCTAACTCCATCCCTTTCTCTGTTTCTTCTCCCTTCGCAGACGAAAAAGCACAGCCCCGGTCACATCAAACGTCCGATGAACCCGTTCATGGTGTGGAGCCAGATCGAGCGGCGCAAGATCTGCGAGGTCACCCCGGACATGCACAATGCCGTCATCAGCAAGAACCTGGGCGCCCGCTGGAAGAACCTCGCCGACTCCGAACGGCAGCCCTTCATCGATGAGGCGGAACGGCTCCGGAAGCTGCACACCCAAGAGTACCCCAACTACAAATACCGTCCAAAGAAGAAACAGGTCAAGGGAACGGCCGCCAACAGTAAGAGCAACAACAACAACAGCAACAGCAGTAGCAGCAGTAGTAGCAACGGTTCTTCGTCAGCATCGTCCTCGCCTGCATCGTCCACATCATCGCGAGATAGCTGCGGCAGCTCGACGTCCTCCTCGTCCTCCTCGTCGTCATCGTCCGGCAAGTCCAGACCGACCCGGCGAAGCAACGGTAAGGTCAGCAAGAACGACAGCAATAACAACAACAACAGCAGTAGTGGTGGCAACTTGAAGTCCAAAAAGGCGCTGATCCGGGCGGGGATGACCGATAACTTGGACGAGATGTATTTCAGTCCACCGGTGCCGCCAAAACATTTGTCACCAAACTCACCGGAAGGAGCATTTTACGACGATCGGTCTATGATCTCACCGGTGCCGACCTTCCCGAACGGAATGAACCAGGAAACGGAAAATAATCTTTTTGTATCGAGTTTGGAGGATTTTTCGACGGACGAGTGCAGCCGGGGATTCGGAACGCAGGGTTTGTTCGATACGGACGAGGATAACAAGACGATGATTTTGAACAACAACGTGGACTCGAAGGGGTATATGTATACGAATGGGACGATGGACGCAATGGACCAGAACGGATTGGTGAACGGGGGAAGTCAAATGAATGTTGACATTAAGCGGGAAACGTATTATGAGGAGGACGATAGGTTTCCGATCGACGATCCATGTCTTACCATGAATATGAGGGACGAGAATCCTTACGGTGGCAGTCATAGCGAACAGGTTACCAGTCCAAGCCCAGTGAGCGTAAGCTCGATGAATGACGTTGCCACGTATGTGAATGGCATGTTTACGATCACCCCACCGAGCAGCGGAGCCAACGGTAACCCCACCCTAGCAAGCTTTAGTGAACTCTCCAGTAGTTGTCAGTCACACACGTTGCTACTGTCCTCGCTCGATTTAACCCTCAACGGCCTGAACTCGCTCAACTCGGTTAATCCGCTTTCCGACAGCCGCCTAATGCAGCAATCCCACCCGCTCAATAACATTTCGTCCAACTGCCAATCTTCGTCGACGCAGGCCGCTCTGATAGCGAGTAGCTGCGCCAACTCCAGCATCAACAGCATCACGACGACGTCCAACTGCACCGGGATGGTTCTGAGCCATTGTGGCACCAACGGACTCATCAGCAGTCCGGCGATCGCCCTCAGTCAGCAGTCGCACATCAGCAACCACCAGATGGTGCAGATGAATTTCGACATGGTTCCCGAGGATCTGAACGACATCCGGTTTGACGGTCTGGAAACGGCTTCGTCGTCCAGCGGATCGCACCTGGAGTTCACCACGGCCGACGTATCGCAGCTGCTGGACCTCAACATGCAGTACAACCTGAACTAGAAAGAGAGAGCGAGAGAGAGAGAGAGAGAGAGAGAGAGAGAGAGAGTCGGAGCGAGAGCATCTGCGACGGATGAAGAGAGAAAGAGAAAGGAACATCGATTTGAGAAAACCAAAAAATTAAGTGCTTTATTGTGAGAGAGAGAGAGAGAGATAGAGCGCGTGAAAAAAGCGAGAGTGAGAGAGATATAGCGAGTGGTAGCGAGAGGATGTTTGTTTTAATCGTAAGAGAAAAAAAATAACGAGAGTAAGTTTTAAAGTGGGAGATAAATCGGAAAACAAATTAAAAAGTGTTGTGATGAAGGAAGAAAGGAAACTTTTTATTTTCATTTCTGATGGAAGTTGAAGTAGGAAAACAGGGAAACACCAATGCGGCTTTTAATTAATTGAGAAGTTAGGCGTGGAAAATGAATACGAAGGAAAGGAGAAGAAATGGAAGGAGCTTTCTGTCAGGACAACAAAAAGGCGAGTAAATTGAAATTGGAAATATTTGGTTCTCGCAAAACAACAAAAAAACAAACAAAAAATCTGCGGTCAAGTTTCCGAAGGACACCCGCGATGGAGAACGGAAAAAAAATGTCCCGAAAAGTTTAGCAAGTCACCACTTTCCCGCTTTTAATTGATGACTGCAATGAAATTGGTTTCCTCTTCTTCCGGTCCGTCGTTGGGTGTTTTTTTTTCGGAAAAGTTTTCGATCCTTTTCCCGGGATGCGGTCAATGGACCACCGTTTGGGTTGAGAAACAGGGTGAAGATAATGTTTTCGGGTAAGGTCATTGTCCCTAATGTCGGCCTAAGTGTCTGTAATATTTCGAAGGAATGTATTGTTTGATTATGTTTCACTAGCATCGAAAAATATCCATATGACGAATTGCCCCAATCTTCAGATCCGTGCACAACAATAGAGCCATTTCCCCTATTTCCCATTTAGTCATTACAGTAATAGCCTCTTTGCTGGCGGGGAGAGCTTCAAGATATTCCTTGTTGATATTCCTTCGAAGTTGTGTAATTTCGTAACGCAATTTGAGATCGGAGCATTTCAAGTCTGTCCGAATTGCTCTCGAAAACATTATCCAGCCCAGGGAAATGATTGCTTAAGCAAAACATACAAACCAGAGCGCCTAAAAGTTTTTTCTTCCGGGAGGAAATTGATCAACTGTTATTAAAATTTTCCTCAGTGAACCTTGAGGAATGCTGTTGTTTTTCAATTTCAACCCGGAGAGGGATGGTGGAAATAAAATCGGGCACATTGCAGAACCCCGAACGAATCAAACGATTCACATCTGCTGGCAATAAAGCGGAATCAATGACGTGGAAAAAAGTTCCGACGAGTTCGTCAGAAGTCCAGAAGTCGTCGCTCAACGATGCCTCCCCGTTCTTCTTTTTTGACTGAATGATGAAAAGACCGAATTATGATTATTGAATGATTTTCTGTTTTCTCCTATTCGTTCGCTCTCGCACTCACTCACTCCAAATCAAATCGAGTCGACCCGCCTGTTGCCGGAGTCTGCGGAAACGGTTGATTTATATTTCGCTGCATAAATCATGAATCATAATCTTATTATACAGAAAGTTTAAACCACTTCGGCTCGCAGCTCGAATTTGAAGGGGGTTTGCAAGCGAATCCTTCTTGTTCTGATTTTGAGTGCGATGGTAGCGATGGAAGACGCAAAGACATACGCGGAACTATGCCCTTGCCATTACCGACTATCACTTTCTGGATGCAGTTCAGCTTGACTTGGGTGAACTTTGGCATCGTTCCGTGCTGAGCATAGTCTTGATTCCAGCCCTGCAGCAAAGAATGCAATAAGGATCAAGCTCTTCAACTGCTGGTTGGAGTCTGATTGCTCATTTGCTTGCTAAAAAAACTTATAACGAGTATGCTTTCGTCTACTTTTATACGGATGAAGATTTGTAAGTTGGGAATGCTCAAGGAACAGGAAGAATTTTCCATGGGGTGGTGCTTGGATTTCAACTGAATTCTAACGGGGTACATACTTGCCTTCCCCGAGAAGTCCTGAATTCAACTAGCAGTGATCGAAACTAATTATCAAAACTAAGCTTGTAACATTTCCCAGCAGTAGGCAGAGAAAATAAATGCCCTGCAGGCAGAGATGTTTTTATTTGACGAGGCTTTAACATTGCTCAAATTAAATTGAATCATATTCCAACCTCATTCAATCCATTCTCATCATTGCGGTGACTTCCAATGATGTTAGTTTCCCATGAAAGCTTTCGTACTATATTGATTGAAATATTTCAGCAACTACCACCAGCTATGTCAGATTGTTTCCAAGCTTTTCGGCATTTTTGAAGACGAAAAACACAATATTTTGGACTAAAAACGGCAAATTTACTCTCCAGGATCAATTAGAAGAAATTTTCGGGGAATGTTTGAATTATCTTCTGAAGGAAACCGAACAAATATCCAAAGAACGAATAAAGAAACTCTTCTGGAGGAAGTTTGAGGAAAGTTCTGATCACTGGGACAACTGGTAGAATTCCAAGACAAATGTTGAGAAGCTTGTGCCGAAAATTTAAAACAACTTTCGGAAAAACTCGGATGACACATCCAGAGGCAGCCGGAAAACTTACGGAAATCGGAAGTGAATTCCAGGAGTAGCCATTTCCAGGGGAAGCCAAAGGAAGCTCGGAAGAACCTTTCAATAGAATTGAAAAAAAAAACTGCAGAACGGCTTATGGAGAAACATCCAGAGGAAGAGAAAAGAAACTTCTGCGAGAATTCGATGGACACATCCGGTAGAAGTTAAATTGAACTTTCTGGAGAAGCTGGAAGAAAATTCCTAACCTATATTGGAAGAAACTTCTGCAGAAAGTTGGAAGCCATAGGGCTTACGGAACAGTCGAAAGGAACTTCAAGGAGAAGTTGGGGAAAAATTCCGGAGAATTTTTGGGGGATGTTACCATAATATTTCCTGAAGTCCTTTACATGTTCCAATGATCCAGCATTTTTTCTGATATTCAGGAAACATTCCTCAAGACCTCGCAATGGCCCTGAAGTTATCGGAACATTCCTAAAATGCACTTGTGAATATCCCATAATTTCTCAGAGCTCCTTGGAAGTTCATGCTATTTTCCTGAAGATAATACAATTTATTGAAACAAATGGAACATATAGATACATCCGGTAGAAGTTAAATTGAACTTCCTGGTGAAGATGGAATATACTTCATGGAGATGTTGGGGGGGAAATCCGGCGAAATAGATTTCTGGGGGATGTTAGCACAATATTCCCTGAACTTCCATACATGTTCCAATGATCCAGCATTTTTTTCTGATATTAAAAAAACATCCCTTATGAATTCTTGAAAGTTCATGCTATTTTCCTAATTTTCTTGAAATTAATGAAACATCAGCGTTGAAGTTCTCAGAACTTCCCGCATTTTTTTTATTATAGAAGTTTTGGAAGCTGCTATCAAATAGCAAGGAACTTTCCTTAAAATGTTCTCATTTTTTTAAAGTTTTTGTTTCCAAAAATTTAATGAACCTCCCGGATTTTTTTGGGGGTTTTAAGAAATTCCGCGAGTTTTTCGGAACTCCTCTAAAATATCAGCAGTTCTCTCAATTCTCCTGAAACAAATGGCACTGTCAAGCCTTTAAATTTTCCTCAAATTCTGTGGACTTGTGAAGTTTCCAAAATATTTCTGATATTTTCTAAGTTCACTGCAGTTCTCTGGACTTTCCTAAATTTCCCGGCTTCTCGCATTTCAACAGAAGTTAATGAAACTGGCTTTGATTTATCGGAACTAACCCAAAAGCCTAGACTTTTCTGAAGTTGCAGAACTTTTTAAAAGTTTCTGCAGATGTCCTAAAGCTAGTGAATTTACTGGTGGAAATTCTGGAATCATTCCTGAAATTCCACGGAAGTTGAAAAAAAAACTGAAGCTTCCAAGGGAAGACATTTACATGGGTAAAATTGGAAGAAACTCCCAAGGAAAGGTTGAATAAACTTCAGGAAGTTAAACATTTGATCATTTGGACCCACCCAGAACTTACCAGGATGAGTAATCGGCTGGTTGTTGATTCTTTCGTGGCCGAAAGTCGATTATTTCGTAGTCGAAAGACATTGTTGTTGCTAATGGGGATGCCAAGGATGCCTCGCCCTCTCCAGAATGATCCAGGATCCCTCCAGATTTTTTCGGAGATTCTAATGCCGACAATTTAAATTACATAAATCTTCAAAAATTCTGGAGGTGGCTTTGATCATTCTGGAGGGGGCCAGGCACCCAAGGCCATGTCGAAAGAGTGTCAAGCATAAGATAAATAATTTTTGGAGCAACAACAATTTTTAGATATTCAAAAAGATACAAGTCTTTTACAATAGTTTCCTCTGACAGTGGGCAGGCAATACTTATGTTTTATATTGAATTTTTTTTAGCGTTAATCGGATAAAATCTCAAAAAATTGTTTTCTGATAAACGTTATCGGTTTATCGGTATCAAGTTCGAAAATTGCTGGCAATGCTGACTGTCACGGAATGAAATGCAAATTGGCTTCTTAAAGATGCGTGATTTGCAGAGAATATGATTTATACTTATCTACACGCTAAGATCAGATAAGCCATATAAAGATTAATTTTACTCTGAATTGACAGTATGGTTGAATGGCAAATGGCAAATGGCTCCGATTTGGAAATTTGCCATGGCCGTGACAGAGACGACAGGAAGAGTTTTTTGTAGCCGAGTTATTTACGAAAGCGAGAGTTGATGAAGAGAATCTAGGAGAAATGGATGTAATGTCGGCCTAAATGCCTTTAATTTGGGCCCATACATAAATTTGACAGCAATCGACTAAATTTTCAATAGCGACCAAAAATATCCATTAGTACCGTCCCAATGACGCGTTCATCTGATAAATAGCAAATGTTTAACGATGGGCCCAAGCTTGGATCCATAGGCCAACATTAGAGCCATTTCCCTTGCATGAAAAGTGACGCGAGATTGGTTCAAAAGATCGTTCTTCCTTCCCGCAGTGAGCTACGTTTTAGTTGGACTCCCGTTAGTTGGGCTGTTGCCCACCTAAATCGAAGTCCAACGTCATTTCTGGTAGGGCTGATTCCTTTGTGAGGGGATCATGAATCTACAATTAGGATAGTTGCTAAACGATTTTGACGATGGTGTATCCCTCAACCAATTTTCAGCTCTAACAGGTCAGCACAACTAACGAAAGTCTTTCACTAAGTGGACGATGGGTTTAGTCCAACGAGTGAAACTACCTTATGGTGTCGTTAATTTGCATGTGTGGGCCTTTATTCGCGAGAAATAGACAATGACTTTTTAAAATGTATTTTCCTCTGATTTCCACTATCTAGCTGCTTTCATATTTTAGCATGATAGATGAATGGTTAATTGTTTTCTCTATACCTGATTTGTCTCATTCATAGTAGTGTGCGCAAAGGAGAAGTCAAATACTCTATATCCGATTCAAAATAAAATTTCCAGTGGTGCCAGATTTGAAGAACTTTTAGAAGAGTCATCAGATATTCGATTTGAATAAATCCTGATTCTACTTAATCAAAATTTAAAAAAAGCATACAACGACATTACAAACACGAAGCCACGATCAAGTCCTACTTCTTCCTTTATTGGTATTGGCGCTCCTACATGAGCTTAGATGCCTACTCTAACATAATGTTATTTGAAGCACTTCCAAAGTTGTTAATTTACAGTTTACTCTATGTCCAGGGAAGTCAAATAAATATCCAGACCAAAAGATTTTCTAGACACGATTGGGAATCAAACTCGCCGGCTCCGGTTTAGATATACCGTGCATTATCTGAGGCTCCTATGTAACGACTAATTGATCTCCAAAACCCAACGTAAATCGCAAATGAAAGAGGAAACCAATGTTGATAAACCGATAGTTTAAAAAAAAGTCAACTTGTCCTGCAGTGGGTTGAACCTCCATGGCTTTTCCTTCATGGGATAGATATTCCATTCCAGATCAGATCGCCGATCCCGCTTCAGCTACCATTCCGCAATCAGTTCGCTTGGATTCGGGTTTGCCCCCTCCCATTTGGTTTTCGATTCTCACGTATTTCTTGTGTAAATATTGCAGCATAGATTATCCCATTTTGCAGACATTGAAGATAAAGCATACACAATAATTTAGTTAAAATCTATTTCTTGTAAATCTTATCCAATTGATTTGATCCCACCATGTGCTCTTGTCTAAGTATTTTTTTATACTTTGGTAATTTATCGTTTTCAATTTCTTAAGAAAAAAAAAAACAAAATTTAACAAAAAATATAAACAAAGGATAAAACAAAACACTGTAGATATAACGAATAAGAAGAAAAGCTGAATGTGATTAAAAAGTAATGGAATACAAATTCCGCAACCAGTCGGAAGTTTTCTGCGACATTTAAGAGTAAAGTTGAAGAGGAAAAGAAAAAAAATAAAACAACAAAGAAGGGTGGTCATAATCAACTCATAAGCAAACACACACACATAAAAAGAAAAAAAAATACACACACACACACACACACTCACACATATGCAAGTAACTTTTAGTTGCTATGTGTTAGTACACTTTTTAATAATACTAGGATTTAAGTGAACAGTCTGAGGGAGGAACGAACTGAGAAAGCAGTTGTCATATTTTCTTTTAGTAGGTGTGATGCAAGCGACCGAGCGAGTGAGCGAGAAGGAAATTAAATGCGTAACATAACTATATACATATATTATTGTGGTTATAATAGTTGTGTAGTAGTACTATTTTATCGAAAAACATCAATCAAAAAAAAAATAACCCTATTGAAATAATGCAAGACGTCAGGCGTCAGGGAGGCAGAAAGCAGCAGGAACTCTCTCTCACTCATGAAAAACAAGATAAGCGAGTCAGCGAGCTCAGTGTGGTCTGTAAGGCGTGAGGACAAAGAGAAAAAAAAAAAAGTTGACGGACGCGGGAAATCTAAACTATTGTGATTTGTAGATCTCTCAAATGAACAAAACAAAACAGAAATGATAACTTGGGTTTTTGTCAGCAAACAATATCAGGGAAATGTTTGTTTTCGTTCTCGTTTTTGTAAGAAAATAATCAAAACATGTTTAAGTATGGACTACAATAAAACACTGCAGGCAAAAATGCACAGAAACGATGAGCGGTGGCTCAAAGACGCAACAAGTGGAATCCGGAATGAATACACTGAAATAGTAGCAAAAATAGTTGATAACTGTATCCAATTAATGAGCATCAATTAACGATAAGTGAACCGATCGTATCGCAGGTCGAGAGCAGTGTCAGTAGCAATTTCATAGCTTTTCATCAATTATTTAAGTCAATAGTTGAGAGTAAGTCGAAGTGGCGGATCCATGTAATAAGTGAATGTTATTTTTGTAAAGCAAACTACAACAGCTGGTTTTTTTTTTCACTAAGCATCATTTAAGCGAGAGGACAGTTATTTTCGACAGTGTTTATTTTCTTCAACGATGGAAAAAGCAAAAAATCTCAGGATTAAATTCAAAATACAATTAATAGTAAATAAAACGTGATTGTTAAGCGATTTATTACTCAAATCAAAGTGGTTTATTTTACTACGAATCAGCAAAAAGAAATCATACAAAAAGCAAACAAAACGACTACGAAAAAGTGATTCAAAACATTTTGGGATTTTACACCGAACATAAAAAAGCAACAAAACCCGAGAAATAAAAAAAAAAAATAGTAATCAAACATAGCAGCGAAACATAACGAAACCAACAAAACTACCGAATGCTCGTAAGTTTTATTCAGAGATTTTTTACTGATTTTGCACTAACACAACTAAAATCGATAAAGGAACTTTACTAATCAATTGAGAGAACAATCATAGAATCGAACTACGAAAACAAACAAACTACATAAACGGCAAGGTTCCTCCATGAAGAGATCATCCCCCGCGGCTCTGCACAACGTAAACCACAATAGACATTTTATCCCTTCAGTGATCACACAAACACAAACGCAGTTACGTACTTTGAGGTTGTGAGAGTGAATATTTCCGAGCGAGACTATCAAAAAAAAAAAAGCAGCCCGTGTCTTCCCCCAGCAGAGGCGTTCCCAGTCTGCAAGCATCTTCTCACCGCTTACTACGACGCCACCTGTCACACGTCTGTCAGCCACAGCGTAGAGGTGGTGATGGTGGTAGTGAAACGTCAGATAATCATGATTCCCCTCCGTTTCTCGTTTGATTGACATTTAGTTTAACGCCAAACAGTGATCGAACTGCGATTAAGTTTGACTTGTTGTTAACATCCGTTTTTTGGTAGCTAGGCTAGCTGAAGATAACGATTGAATTGGGAAAACGGCGCATCGAGTGGTAAGTTGTCCGTGTACACAAGCATTGACAAACACACATTCGCAGTGCTGGCCGTTTTTGTTTATTGGTATTGGAAGCAAAAGAGCAAACGTCTTTTTACTCGTGTTTGTGTTGGTGTTAGTAGGAACCTATTGAACTTAATCGTGTAAGGGCCGAGTACACTAAGCATTGAATATTTATCATTATATATCTGCTAGGTAACGACTAATACATATTACAACTACACGCAACACACTGACAAACATACACAAAGTAGTAGCAGCGTCGGTTGACGCAAGCAACCACGCGGAAATTGGTTAATATTGGTGCATAAGAAGAATAGAGCCGTGTTTTTAAGACTGATAGCTGCAGAAAATTATTAGCTAAAACAAAAACAAATGTTAAAATGAACGGAGTTAAACAAAAAACAAAAAAACTTCAACTTTTGGTTGTAACATTATTCGCTAGAGTAGCTGCCTTGGTGTGCGTGACACTTAATGTTTCCCATCGTCCGTTTGTTGACAGTTGTCGACTGACAGCTAGCAACCTTTTTTCTTCTTCTTCGGATTAAAGGAGCCGACAGGAAATCACCCCTCTATAGATCAGTGCACGAAGATTTGCCGCACTCTTCCCTCTCCCGTAAATTTTGACAGTTTTGGGTGGTTTGTTTTGGCTCCCATTCGTTGCCATCTCTTTTACTCACAGACAAAATGATAGGAAGCAAAAAGTGAGGTTAGGGACCGTGCACTGATCTATATGAGCACACTGCTTTGCTGAAAAAAAAAAGATTGTAAAAACATAAATCGTGTATTTTGAAAGCAACATATCTTGCAGACCATAGTGTAAACAAACAACCATCTACCGTTTCACGATGGTCAACCAACAGTTTGCGCTTCTTTTCCAAGCAAGCGATTTTTGATTGTGTTTTGAATTAGACCCGACAATTGTACAAAGTAAACAAACCCTGAATGTCACCAAGCGCCCTCCTTCCGATAACATCAAGTGTGCCCTATTTTGCCGCCCGACCGCTTCATCCCCCGGTAAATGTAAACAATCTTTTTATTTCCTTTATCAAGTACCACAAATCGATCAACCCAAACAAACGCATTTTGATTTGATAGTTTTGTTGAATTGCCGAACGATTGATCTCGTTTTATACTAAAGTTTACACTGTACGTCTACGATTATCATTTGCCCCCGATTTGTCGACTCGATTGATGTGTTCTTTCTTCTATCACAAAACACAAAGAAACACAACACAAAACAAATCAACCTAGAGGAATCAAGCAAAACGAAAATAATTACTAAATATATAAAACAGTAGAGAAACCTAAGTGTGAATTATAACAAGTAACTAATGAAAACATGAAAAACAAAATGTGAAGAAAACAGAAAAAAAAAACAAATAAAATATTCAGGTATCTATGCAGGCTGTGAAATAGTCTATTTTTTATTTTAACATTAATACGAAACAAGATACTTTAACCGTACATTTTAACTAATTTCTTTTGTAAATGTTTTGCTTCTGTAAGGTTTGTCTGTGATTCTCTTCGTCTTGTTTTTTTGGATTGATTTTGTTCGAAGCAAAAGAAGAGGACAAACAACATTTGTTCAAAAATCGTATTGACAAACTGCCAAACTATGCATTTTTTTCCATTAACTAAATGAAATCAAAATTCACATTTTACTGCTTCTTTTCTGGTAAATTCCGTTCCAAAAGAATTCCCTTCGATATCCTTTTTCGACGAAAAAGCATCGAAATAGAATTATCAAATCAACTCACAAACAAACAAACAAACAAACAAACAAACAAACATAGACAAACGCAAACCAATGGAGAATCAAATTTTTAAGTAACGGATAAAAAACTAAACGGAACACAAATAAAACTCCTATTCTTACCCTAGCAATGGCGAAGCAAGACGAAGAAAGAGACAGCTATCTCAACTTTTCCCCCAACTATTACACTAAACAAACAAGAACTACATCCTTGGAATCAACTGCTTTAAGTGTGTAGAGGAACTGTTTCTTTCTATAAATTATATACATTATTAAAGTAAACAAATCGAAAACTTATTAAAAGCTAAACCATTGGAACAAGCGAAACCAGTAGAGCTCTAATACATGGTTAAACTTGGCCATTGCAAGACGAACCGGGAGAGAATGAGAGATGATGTCTTGAACCACGAGAGTAAATGGATAAGGTAAACCACACAAAGTGAACCACAAGAAGCCCAAGAATATTTATTGAGCAAAACAGAAGGAAAAAAACAAACAAATTACTAAATGTCTATTTATATATTTACAATCTTAACGCAAGTCGTACGTTTAAAGAATGGAATGAATCACAAATTATATCGAGCAAGCGTGGAACAGTAAGGGTTAGGTAACTACTGATTTAGCAGCTGGAGCGAGTCAAAGCAAAACAAATCGGAACCGAACAACCAATCACAAGTGGGATTACTTTATTTACATAAACATGATCGCCCGAATCCGAACACTCTATTGTCACGATTGTATCAAAGTCAACACTGGCAGCACTGTTGCACAGTTGTTGCCAACGAACGGTCCAGTTTGACACTGTGTGTCGCCAATCATGCGAAGCGTGCTTTGTGTTTTTTTGAAGACTTGACTGCAGGTTTCAACCAAAACAAAACAAACACAAATAAAAACGGTAGAAAAAAAAAGGAAAAATCAAATTACATTTCACATTGCATACGGCAGTGTTGGCGACACCGGTGCTCCACAGAAGCGAACCGTTTGCAAAAGCGATCCCATTGTTTGTTTGCAACGGATCATGTTGATCACGCACACTCACCAAAAACCACACGCTTGATCTCGCGTTGATTGACTGATTGACGGGACGAGACGAGTGTTTTGTAGGTGTGTGCGTTTTGTTGTTTTGATATTTGACCAAAACCAAACAAAAGAAAACGAAAAATAACACAGCCAACTACGCTTGACACCAGCTGTCAGACAACTGTAATGGCGGGACTATCCTATGTAGAAATAGGCAAACCACAGCTACTAACGAGGAAACTGAAGATACCCATTTGTAATATTATGTACATTTTTGACCATAACCAATAGGGAGTTTTGTACATTTCATTGTAAATATTATGATTATGGATTGTATTGTAAAGCAGTAATATTAGGCGACAAGCAAATGTGGAGTTAAGGACCGTAACAATGGAAGATATGCTCGAGAGCGGTTTGTGAGCAAAGTCAGAAGAGTTAAGCGAAACATCGATTTTGATTTGACAAGGAAATTTCCGTTTCTGTGACACAAACAACCGATACCGACCAAAACATTTAACCTTAAACTTTTAGAATCCACTCAATACAAAAAAAAAACGTTGGAACATGCTAAGAGTAAGGTAGGATGTTAAGCTGATCTTCATTTTACCTTAAGTTTTTTCTACACCCATAATAGGTTTCATTGTAAGTAATTATGTCCAACTGTTGGAAAGTTAACTGAATGATCTCCAATTATTTGGAACAGTCTGTTTCTTCAAATAGCATCACAGGTAAACAAACAAACACTCGTAAAAATAGCTGACCGGGTGGGACGGTTGTCCCAATTTCACCTGGCAAAGCTTTCCCTCCATTTTCAAAACAAATAAAAACGTTTGATCTCATCCGCTGCTGTAGGGAGGGCAAGCGAACAGTTTTGAACTTTGGACAACCTTCACCAAACCGCGATCATTTCGACCAAAACAAACAAACAAAATCAAAGCCCACGCGCATCATCCAAAACCAAGAATCGAAAACCGATAAAAGAAAAACAATGAGAACATTTTCGACAAGCAATATACAAACAAAAAAACTGCAATTATTTTTTCGGGAAAACAGCCGCTGATAAAATGAAATAAATCTATTAAATGAAAACAATAAAATTAATGACAAAAAAAAAGTTGTTGAAGTTTTTGACAAGCAAAACCAAAAGTGTCTGTTTACTTTTCTGTTTTAGGAAAAAAAAAATGAAGAAAAATATCGATAAAATCTAGTAAGATTAGAAAGTTTAAAGAATGGAAACAAATTTTGTTCATAATCATAATTTAGCTAGGGGTGCTCTGGAGAGATGCGTTTCGATCGTGTTTGTTTTTCTTTTGCGTTTCCATTGTCGTCGTTGTCGATAGGTTATAGAAATTTGTCATGCTCCCCTCGCCCCTCCCACAGCCCCCTCCCACTCCCCTTTCAACTACGAGCGCATACCGAGAGCAAGCAACTAATCAATCATATTTTTTTCTGGGTCTTCTGGGAGCGAAATCGAAACAA